CAAGGAGTGAGCACTTCTATTTTGTCTTATACAAAAGTTCTAGATTCCAAGTGATTAGATATTTGACTAGAAGCTTGGATTTGATTGGTTTGACTAAATGTATGAAAGATGATTGGCTAGACTAAGTCTAATGTTGACTTAGTGGCTAGGAAGCTTGTAGAAGTTTAAAAGCTTCAAATGGCATGTCGCCACCTCAACCTTGGATTCCGGAAGCTTCTAGAAGGTTTAGGTAGGCCAATGGCATGTCGCCACGTAGAGAAGGTTAGTCAAACTTACCTAGGTAAAAGTAAGTTAGGAGAAATTACCACATGTTACTATGGTAACTTCTCAAGTAGTATAAATAGAGAGGTAGAGTAGCACCTCTCAAGCAAGTTTGGAGAGTCATGTGTGAGGACTTGTTTCAGGAATGAAGGAGTGAAGTTTTTGAGTATCTTGGAGTATCGACGTGTGTTTGCGTTTGTGTGAAGAGAGTGATGTGAGGAGAGTTTGTGTGTGAGTTGGAGTGATACATGGAGAGTTTGTGAGAGAAGATGTTTGGGACATTAGTGTGAGGATGAATCCTAGTCTTCTAGAACCATGATGCGCTACCGCAAAGCCATCAGAGGTAAACCTGAGTGAGAGTCAGCCCGGAGGTTGCATTTTTGGTTCCGTTGCCGGGACCTCAATCTAGAAGGCGGAATGTTTAGGATTCGATTTCTAGCTTGAGAGAAAGTATCCATGAGGGATCACTTGGTGTTAACATTGGGGAATGAAAGAGCGGAGAGTGTGCTTGAGAGCGAAAATCCCTTTGTTTATCCAATAGTCTCATATGATAGCCTAGAAGTGATTTTGTACGTTTTGTACACGTAAATAGGTCTTTTTGAGAGAAAAGTGATCTTAGACACCGAAAAAATATTTTTGAAGGTATTTTTTTCAAAGTTATTATTGATTTTAGAGTGGAAGATAGAGAACATTTACGTTTTTGTTTCAGGTCCAGATCATGTGTTAACCGAATGATATGAGAGTTAGAAGTTGAGTGGGTTTTCACGGGTATCAAAAGTCTGCTCTCTGGAAAGTTTGTACAGAGTTGATTTCTTTTTCTGTATTTCAAGTTAGGATTTGAAACTTCGTACGAGTGTGTATTGGAAGATAAACTACGTTCAAGTCAAAATTTCACTGAGAGGTCACGTCTAGAGACGAAGTTATGTTGATTTGAAGTTGAGGGGGTACAAAAGCAAGATAACAAAGCAAAAGTTTTTGATTTCTTTATTCACAATTTTCGTCAAGTAGATAGCGTTTTTGGGAGAGTTCTTTTGAGTGGTTTCTACCTTATGGGAAAATGAGTGAACAAGAAGGTTGGAAGGTTAGGTTATCCAAAGTACCTCAAGGCTTGGATGTTATAGTGTCTTTAGACTCCAATACAAGAGAATTCAAGGTGGAGTTTGAAGAAAGAGTAGTGAGTCAATCTCCAAGAGTCAAACGTGAAACTTGTTTTTATTGTGGAGAGGAGGGCCATAAGGTTGTCAATTGTTCCCTGCGGAACAAAGATAGAAGATTGAGGAGCAAGAAGAACTTGGGAGATTTGAAACTTCACTTGGGACCATCATCGCCACATGAATCCCAAAGCGCGACCTTCTGTGACAATTGCGGAGTGATTGGGCTACCAGCGGGACACGAATGCAGCGGAGTAAAGGCACTTCTGGAATCACTTGTGGAAGGGTTTGACGGCAAGCTAAGTGCTGAAACAGAGAAAGTGACCTCAGCGGGCTCAAGCTCCAACTGAAGATGGAGATCATCATTCGAATGATGGAGAAGATGATGATGAGGGTAAGACTCATCGTATGCCTAGGAGAGGAGAGAGCTTTGGCTATCTTCGAACAACCAATTCCTTTTGTGTTTCCTTTGATGAATTACTCAAGGATGGAGTTAGTGTTGTTTATTTTGTATTAAGAAGCCCCATATAAATTGAGTTTCCCCATAGGAGGAAATCGAGCTTCAGCCCCATCAGCACGTCTTGGAATGCGCGTAGACCGATCTGCGGCACCCTGAGTGGAGACACTCGCAGCTGGGGGACCTTCGACATTGTGTTTCCTGCACACACAAACGTTCTCCCTTCCGCTCGCTCTCTCACAATTGCCGCTGAGCGTCGGCCGCTCAAGTACTGACTGCTGTCTCTCTCTCTTCTCTCGCGCTCAAGTTCGCTACTCGCAATTCTCTCCAAGGTCTGTCAAGATCCTTGCGCAACTCGCCTCCGCACTCTCTCCTCTCTCTGCAGGTCTCTCCGCCCTTGCGCGAATTCTTGGAAGCTAGAAATCGCAAAATCAAGAATGAGAGAATGAGACTGGAGAGCAGTATTTTCTTCTCCGAATTCAAGATCGTCCAACGTTCTTACTGGTTACAATTTACGCAGCCAGCTATACGGCCTAACAGTTCGCCCTTGCATGCTCGAATTCACGTCTCCGCACTGCGCGCATTCGCATGCGTGAATGTCAAATTCTCTCGCCGCCACCGTCTTCCGGACTCGAGTTCGCCGCAGTGTATACGTCGGCTATGTTGTCTTTTCCTAACCCGTCCATCACCGTCTCTTCTGCCTCGTCCATTGCATATCCCGCCGGCGCAAATCATGCCAGCGCATCCGCTTATCAGCGCCACGTCGGAGGCGTACATCCGGCCGGCGCTTTCCTTCCGTTGCGCAGCCGCCAAAGTCGCTTCCGACTCTGAGTTGATTTCCTCCCATGAGCGAGTGATTCCGCCGAAGGCGCATCGCCGAAGGCGTACGGGAGTCCTTTCCGACTTTGAACCCTAGCGCGAACGGCGCATGTCCGGCTACGAGTTTTCCTATGCTCATAACTTCTTCGTCCCTGATCCATCTCCGACGCTCTTGGGCTCGTTAGGACGAGCGTCCCGAGCTCTTTCCAATGCGACTTCAACCAATTGGAACTACCGTGTATTCCGATCGTTAGGAAGGTTTTACTTTCCGCGCTAGCGGCGCATCGCCGAAGGCGCACTCATGGTCGGAAGCCTTCATAGGTCCGTGCCATTCTTCTGAGGTCTTGAGCAAAATCTCCTCCGGAGGTGTCTGCGCCGGAAGCGTAGCTTCCTTAAATGCTGGGAGCGCGTGAGTAGAGACACCTCAGAAAAGGAGCTTTTGCCCAAGGCGCCGAAGACATTTGGCGCTGGTACATCCGACTTCGCGATTCTTCGTGACCTCATGACGATCTCCTCAATCCACTCTATTTAACGTACCCTTTTCTAACTACAGACACTGCTTCGGTACTTGTTTTCTAAAATTGTTTAAATTCTGCAAAAAACAAAAAGTGTGTTACCACAACTATTCTGGCGGCTCCTTGCTCGTCCGGGGCGCTGCGCTGGCGCAGAAGGCGCCGTACAATTTCTACCTCACAAGGCGCATTTCTAGGGCCCAAGGCGGATTTTCCGCCGACGCCGAAGCGCCTGTGCACAGGCGCACGCCTGTGCGTAGGCAAACTTCGCGCCTACCTCAAAACCCTATTTCGCCTGTGCGCAGGCGAACTTCCTTCGTCCGCGCATAGGACAAAACTTCTCCGCCTGTGCGCAGGCGAAGAGCTGAGTATCTTACAACCTTCATAACTCCCGGAGTCCTTATCCGTTGTGGGCGTTCTCGGGCTCGTTGGAATCAGTGCGTCGAGCTCTGTTCAACGAGACCCTAACTAAGTCAAGGCGTCTGGGGGTTGACCTAAATATGAAGGATTTCCCTACCGCCGCGGACGCAGCTCCGAAGGCGGGTTTTGCGCCTTGCGCCGTAGGGATCCTAACTGCAGAGCCCGCAGGGAGGGCGGTGCCCGTCCTTACCGCTGCACCCAACTCCTAGATTCTATGAGGTTCCTCGAGAATCTCTGCGATCTTCCGAATTCACTCTGTTTTGATGCCCCGAAGGCTATTTACATTGCTGCCGGGGTACAGTTTTCCAAAAATGTTTTAATTTCCTCAAAATTACCAAAAGTGGGGTACCACAACGTGTTTCTTCTGCGTGAGCCTTGCAGACATACTCTACGGAGTGCGACTTACTATTCTTAGTTACTCCTTATAAGCAACTTAGACGTGACATTTTTAAGTTTCTGAGAGGCATGCTGAAAGTTTTTTGTGTGGGTTTCTTGTCCTCATGTCGCATGCATGCGCGGAGGAAATAGACAAGCACATAGATGCACAGCATTTCCTGCATGTGAGGTTGTGAAGCAAAGGGACAGCACTTACAAATACTCAAAATCTGTGCTACAGTATTTGGTAAGCACTTATTGGCATCAATCCAAAGTTCTGTGTGGTTGTCCTAAAGCCACCACACGGGGTCTGTGCATGCCACAAGCCATTTGACAAGCTTCCATGTGTTTACAAGTGATTATGTTGTTTTTAAAAATATTTGGTTTACTTCAAAATTTATTATATATATATCATTTGGTGCCTCTGACTATAAAGTACTTTTTGGTGCCTTCGACGTAATATTTGCTGTCATCTAACAGAAGGTGTCCGGGTCCGTGTCGTTTCAGCCGACTCGCGTTTCTCTTTTACCCCTGTTAGACTGGGTGAGTTGAGGAGTGTGTAGAAGGGTACTAAGCGTATTTTTTTCTAAGAGTGTTGGTGAGTCCTCCCCCTCTTTGAGAACAGGTGCAGTGCAGAAGAGTTTAAACCGTCGTGGTGAGTCTTACCCCTCTTGTGTTTTATTGTCGCTGAGAGCTATAGAACAACTTAAGCTTCAATGGCTTAAACCTTCCATGAGGGCCGAAAAGAATTGGCTGTCTTCGGATTCTAAGTCCAAACTACTTGGGTTTCATCTCAATTCAACCACAGCACCTCATATGATTTCAGCAAAAATGATCATCTACCATTGGAACGAGTAACGGTCATCGTAAATGCAAATTGGAGACGATCACTACAACTTGATGTGTTTGTGTTTGAAAGAGGAAGCGCATGATGGCTGCATCTTGCATACCTTGAAATCTTCCGGAATGATATACCACTTTGTATAAGCATTGACATACGAGTTTAAAACTTTAAAATGACAAAAATGAGGTGTGTTTACTTCAAATGACTGCTTGAGTAACAACAGTAACTGTGGACCCCTCATGAGGGCCAAAGAATGCAGATAATCTAATCCATTAATTCTAAAACTGTAATTGTCCCTTTTCCCGAAGAACAAATGCATTCAGCTTAGCCAAATCCCAATACACCTGAGAAAAAGTAAGACCGTGTATGACGAGAAAATAAGATGGCGTATAGCATTCAAGAACCATCACTGGAATTCTTGCTTGATGTCCGAGAAAAAGAAGTCCATTGTCGGGTTGGTTTTCCGCACTCCCTTGGAAACGATGGTGACCACGACGTCGGTATTCCAGTCGCCAATACCCAGCCTTCTGAGGGCCTGACCGACGCTGTAACGGATGTTAAATAATCGGTACATCCCATTCGACCCTGTCACGGACGACTGTGACACTGAGGCGCTCATGTCCACCATGCCGCTGGGCAGATGAGTGAAGGTACCGACATACTCTGACATGTACAGGTGAGTCTCCCTGTTGGCGTCTGGGAAGTTGATGAAGACGTCAAATCTCGCGTACGCTGAATGTGGTATCCTCACTCTCTCCAGGACGATGTCCTCCTGCAGCTGGTTCGTGTGCTTCAAGCCCTTTCCTTTCAGGTCCTTCTTTGTAGGAGCACGGCGCTCCAGCCTGAAGCTTGCAGGAACCTTACCGATGGTGTTGTTACCAGAGGGAACCACTGCAGGCCAGTCTCTAGGACTCCACGGCTGCGATGGTTTGTGCGCAGGCAGCGGCTCGTAGTTGATCCACAGATTGTCGGCCTCGCTGACGTCTGTGTACTTGATTCCGAGCTTTGAATTGTCAAGGGAGTCTCTGATCTTGACGATGACCATATCCTGGTTCTCGTCGAAGAAGGTGAACTCGGAGTCGAGGAAGTCGCTGGAAGTGTAGTCCACTCTCTTCCTGTTTCCTGCAATGGTGACCTTGTCAGGGATGGTTTTCCACACGTCCCACAGGCGGTCGACGTTGGAGTGATGACTGTAGAAGATGGGGTCCCGAGCAGCGTAGATGAAGTTGCCCATGTCCTCGTTGTCCGGATGGGCTGGATCGTTGATCAGTCCGGTCCACTCGTGCGCAACATTGTGTACGATCTCCATTCCACCGGACTCACCAGGAGTCTCACCGGCCGACACATTGACGCTGGCAGCCGTGTTGTCGGTCCCCGCGACGTAGGGTCCCCCCAAAAAGCTTCGGGCGCTGATTTTCGTAGCCACCTGGTTGTACATGACGCACAAGTTCTCGTATCTGATTTGCTCGTCCGTGAGGTTGAGTTTGCCCTCAGCTTCAAGCCTGCCATTGTATCCCAAGTAGAGGATTTTCGGAGGCATATGGTTGGCGTTTCTGTTCGCGTCGAGCAAGGCCGAATTGTTGACAGGGAAGTTGGGAAGGAACATGAAGGGCATCATGCTTGCGATAGGGTCCAGCTGATTGTCCCAGTTCCAGAATGGGAGGGCGAAGGTGGGATCGCCGATCAGATCCGCCAGAATCCTCTCGTGGTAGTAGAGATACATCCTGTGCCACGGAAGAAAGGTCCAGCTGAAATGAACTTGAAGCAGAACGCCGGTGGCCTTGCCCAGAGGGCCTGGTATCTCGCGCTGCTTGAAAGCTTCGTTGCAGAAAGAGCAGTGGACTCTCCACTGATTCAGAAAGCTTCTGGGATCACTGTCTGGCAGTGCTTTCATTCTGGCGTAAGCTAGATTGTACTTCCTGACGTATTCAGGATCGTTCTGGACTACATGGGCCGGTTTCCTCTCGCGGATGACGGGAGGACCTCCGCTTTCGCAAGTGGGGTATTTGAACCTGATGGGTTTCCTCGCTGGTGGTGGTAGGCAGCAATGCAGTGGAGCTCCACGCAGCACCGGGACGGTTTTACAAAAACCTAGACTCGATGCCAAAACCGGTTCTGCACTGATGCTTTGGGGGAAATACTGGATGCAGAGAAGCGCGCAGCACATAGAGACCGCCCATAGAAGCTTCACTTGAACCACACCTGCATTGCTCCGTCCCTGACCTTCCCCTTGCATGGGGAAGACATGCTGACGGCAGGAGGCCGTCATTGGTGCAATATACGAGGTCGGCCTGTGGACAATCATTCAAATTCATCAGTAATGAGTTTCCAGCTCAGAAGCATATGCACATTCCCAATTCGCATAACAAAAATGTTCGGATTGAAATGTCGGAGTTTGCGAGGATCCTCGATGCAACTTTATTATCTCCGAATCTAACTTGTGGCAAAATAGGAATCTGAATTCCTGGAAAGAGCAAAATTCCACAATAGAAGACAATGCATGCTGGCGAGCTTACCTCAGGGCAACAGCAGGATATTCTTCCAAGAGCTCGTGCTAGCTTCAAACCTGGATCTTTGAATCTCACGTGTCTTTCGTCACAATCTGTTTGTTACAAAACATCCGAGAAGGCGTCCTTCAGCGCTAGATGTTATGCCAGCCCGAATACCTTGCACGGTGTAGGGGCTGACAAAACTTGAACATGCTGAAGAAAACAAACCTCGGCAAGCTTTATAGTGTCTTGCGATCCACCTCTGTAACAACAAAAACACCGTTTACAGATATATCGGAAATTTCATGATCATGATAGAAACTGCTTATCACGTACCGACATAACAGTTAACTGACAGCGAGAAAAGCCAAGATTTCTAACACATCCTTGAAACAAAGGAAATAATGGATCATACGTCCGATGCCCAACTTAGTAGCGAAGAGTCAGAAATATGGCCCTCCATGATTGGATTCGGTTGAAGGAAAGCTTTCAAATGTGTTTGGAACTCGAAAAAGGACAAAATCAGTGCGGAATCTGCGCAATCAATCAAGATCCATCAAACGATGAGATACTTCTTCATTTTCAGTGCATATTAAATTACAAGTCACTAGCTACAGACAGGAAAATGATAGTCAAATAAGCATCACCAGTATCAGTCAATCGTCCCACGATGTACCTTCTTCTAAGAACTTCTACACAGAGATGAATACCCCAATAAAAAATTTGAACAGACATATCACTCACTGAATGCCATATAGCAGTGACAGGTTTCAGTTTAATATTATACGTGACAGCCAAAGATACCTCAGAAAGGGCTGCTTCCTGGAATTTGTTCAAGTTTAGTACTTCTTCCTGATTTTACGGTCATGGAAACAGCATTTTCCATGATCTTCGACAGTATAGATCTTCCCTTGTACCTTAGTGGCGGCTATGATACACTGGTCAGCGAGCGTGCGTGACCGTTTTAGTGAACCGCATTCAATAAGGAGTTGCTCGTTCATTCTATACAAACCTGCGAATGGAGCATTTTCTTCAAGGCATATTTATCCAAAGGAATCATAAGGAGCCATATCGTGTTTTTAAATTCTTAAAATAGAACGTTGTCAGATTAGTCGAGTCCTTCTCTGGATCATGTACTCTATACATCAGCATTCTCGATGAGAAAGTTTCCCTGGGAAAGGTTTTCTTCCTTTTAGATTGATTGCCATGCACTATCTGAGTTTGAGTTCCACTTCATTATAGAGTTTCAGGATGCCCGAGTTTCACACAACAAGATTGTGCCAAGTGAGGTTAGCTCGGATTGCCTTGTGTTAGCTGCTCCTGATCTGCCTTCACGCTTTGATATAAATGGATGCCTGTCAGTGCATATCGTATTTAATCAAAGGAGCAGTACTATGTGAGAAGCATGAGGTCGGTGACATCATCCATCGTGGAGATACTCGCTGTCATGCCAGGAAACTAGATAGAGATGCGTAAATGTTAATTTAACGTAAGGAGCACTGCAGTTCCTAAAGGTGAAGGCATATCTATCTGAACGAGTCAGCAGAAAGTGTAGAGCAATGTGGCCACGACAAGGTTTTGACTACGCATGCTCGCGTTGCAACCGCGAGCAAACACGGTCTACTTGCATTCTCGGTCAGCTTAACAATCATTTCGCTATACAGCATCTTGGTTCCAAGGGCTTGTTGTATGCTTTGCACTTTTAACAGCAGGAGACTGTTCCATGGCCGCACTTGGTCTTCAAGAAGGTGGACGGTGCCCATGATGATGATACAGATTTGAGTTGACTGTCATGTGAACACAGTCTCTATACTCTGCATGACCTCAAGAGTGCGGTATGTGCTCCGCATGAACCTTTCATCTACTTTTCCGAGGTTCATGCGATCCTAGATGTCCATTGGTCAAAATGCAATCCAAACTCGTCCCTAGAAGATCTTTTTACATTCTGTGCTCCAAACTTTCTGCACGAAGTTCGTCGTTATGTGAATGAAGGAAACTTTCAAGTCAAAGGAGAGACCGAGGCGCCATATAACACCAAAATTCAGGGAGCCACAGTCTGACAGTAATTTGAATGTGACACAATTTCCTCATGTAGGATGCCCAAACGCATGAGCTATCTTCTCCAAAACAGATAAAATCCACATGAGGGATGTAATTGAAAACGTTCACTACTTCTAATGAAATTTGTGTTTGTGACTTCTGTTTCTAATAGAACTTATCTTTGGAAACTTGGCTTCTTTTTTCTCAAATGCAAGTCGTGAATCTTGTTATTGTGTAACATGTGTGGAGAGTGTGAAAACATGAATCTCAAATATACATAATCAAGCTATGTAGAAAAAATATGTTATGTTAAAGATGTGAATGTTCTACATTTTCTTAGGTTTCATATGATTGCGAAATCTGGACGTTGTATAATTAAATGAAATTTGTGTTTGTGACTTCTGTTTCTAATAGAACTTATCTTTGGAAACTTGGCTTCTTTTTTCTCAAATGCAAGTCGTGAATCTTGTTATTGTGTAACATGTGTGGAGAGTGTGAAAACATGAATCTCAAATATACATAATCAAGCTATGTAGAAAAAATATGTTATGTTAAAGATGTGAATGTTCTACATTTTCTTAGGTTTCATATGATTGCGAAATCTGGACGTTGTATAATTGAAAAAGTAACCATAATACTTGTTAAATACCTTAAGTCTGTAATGTTTCTATATCAACTGCAGAATTGAATAATAGAATATTTAGGTCAATTTTGGAGTCTAAGTCCCTCTTTCTTCTTATTCCTACACTTTAGCAAATCTATTTTTCCTCTGAATAAGCGATTTTAGTTGATTTCAAAATAAAACCTTAGTCTCCTTGAAAACTAATAAATATATGAATATAAACAATAGAAGAGCTGGGCAAGCACAATAACATGAAAAATAGATTATGTCATTCTTCAATGAACATTATGAGAAATTATAAGAAGAATTTTATTCAATTTAAACTCACTTTTTAAAAAACATTATCATAAGCTATATATATTCCCAATCCTTTGATACTTGTTGATATAACACTTCAATTAAACACGGATGGCTGGGCATTTCAATCTATTCTGATTATAACTTTGATTTATAGTACTTAATATTTCTAGCAATAATAGCAAATTAATTCTGGACTAGATTTTTTAAAAAGAGCTGTCAGTCAATTTAAATTTAGATGAAATTTATATCACGTAACAGGATTTCATTCTGATATTGCGGATTTGGATGACTTCACGTTGTATTTTGTAGCACACATAGGCAGTAAAAGATTCATAAGAGGACAAATAGTATGAAACATTGGAAAATAATGAAATAATATATAGGTTTGAACTTTGAAGAGTAGAGCAGAAGAAACTGACTCGCGAAGTTCTGAAAATTTGGAACAATTTACAAGTATAATGCATGTAATTTACAATTTTTCCTTTTCCCAAAACCAAGATACTTAAAAAAGTAAAAATTACACCAATCCCTTTGAGAAGTTTGTCTTACACATACAATTTCTAATTTTCAATTATATACATCAGTATATTTGCTCCAGATAAGAAATTCTAGTTTCAAAAACTTCACAAGTATTATTTTCTTGTAATCTCATCATACAGCAAAAAGTATTCTCTAATCATAGTATTATTCAAACTTTGAAATCTTAGAAGATGTTTTTTTTTGCTAAATTCACCTGACCATAACTCCAAAACATTTGCCTTAGATCGCTCTTGAATAAAGTTTTAGGCCTGAGTCGTAAAGAACCTAAGATTATAAGTAATGCTACTTACATGTCTAGTAAAAATGGCATGAAAGAATTATCATTGTAGATTATATAAGTAGACTGCATGTAAAACTTTGCATCTGTAATAAAAACAAACATTATGTTACACCTCATTGTGCTTATTCTAGCTAGAGTTGCTGTATACTATATTACGTAGAAATTGTGTACAAAAGTACCATAAAGATACAATGATTCGTCTTCAAACTTTACAGAAATAAATCTTTCTAAAGTAACACAAGTGTATCATAACCATCATATCATTATCAGAAATATGCATTCAGCACTGAGAAAAAGTTATCATCAATCAACATGATAGGCTCATTTTCAAAATAGGTTTTGATTACTGCAATAATCTATCCTAACTTCTCCATGTGCAAATCATACTTTAGAGTTTTACGGTTGGATGATTGGATGTATGTTTCGTAACATCTATAATATTTTTACTATTAAGAACAATCGAAACTCAAACAACAAGAGCATACGATGTTGTATGTTCTGATATAACCGCAAAATGTATAGAGCTAGCTAGTGCACTCTATGAAAAAGTGAAAAATAATGGATAAAGTAAATTAGTCAGTAAGGTAGAGAAATTTGTATACCATGTGGATTGATAGAAATCACTATTTTTTTTTCATTCAAAACCAAATAAATTTCTAATTCCATAGATGTATAATTAACTATTGTTAGAATATCAGCGTTGAAACTTATACATCTCTCTCTACTCGGATAACTTTGACGCTATCGTAACCTTGTAATCGCATCCAAGAAAATGAAGATACACCCACTCAATAACATGTGAAACTTTGTGCGAGTCTAGGAAAATACTCCGAGAAAGTGTGTTCCACCGGTCCAGATGGGACACACCAAATCTTCCAAAAGCGAGGATTTTAGGTGACTAACTGGAATCACCTGTTTGGTCATGCAGTGCCCTGATAATGATCCATAAGCATGAAGATTGATGACTGTCAATGGTCTACAAATATACGACACCACTCCCCATTCGATATGCCCTGCTCTGTGAGTAATGATGGTTTAGGTTGCTAGGACAAACTGATCTTGAAAACCTCATTCTTTCGGTTTGAAATGGGGTGGAAGCCTTACAGGAAGACTCATGTCCATCTTGCAGGTAAGGAAATACTGTACATACTCCGTCAGTACCAAATGCACGTGTTCTCACGCGTGATAATTTAAATCAATATGATTCACGGTATTGCTTTTAAGCTTGCTGTTGCCATCTTGAATACAAGGAGACCTTCCTCTCTTGAGAGCAATATCTACCTTCCATGCTGCAGTATACATCACGAACGTTTGACAGAAGAAAATAAGAAAAAGTAGGCAGCACTTTATCAAGTCTGGCTCAATGCCTGGCGATGGCTGACCGGGATTAGTATGCATGGTCCGTGATCAGTGCCGTTTTGTCCAACCACAGCCGTCTCCCAAAAGAGAATGCATGAATACTATGCAACAGCTTCAACTGAACTGGAATGAACTGTCCATGGGGATTGAAGAATCAACGCCACATACGGAATCTAAGTCCGAAATACTTGCGTTCCGGCTGATTTCATTGATAGCATCCTGCCGAAAAGAACCTCAGGTGATCTCAGCAAAAGGTATGATCAGCCATGAGAACGAGTAAAGCTCATCGTATGTGCAAATTGGAGACGATCACTACAACTTGATGTAGAAGAAAGATGAAGCACATGATAGCTGCTTTTGAATAGTTTGGAATAGTCCATAAGGATATGAGACATTATATAGCACTGAAAGAGGAACGAGGACTATAAATTGACAAAGAATTTGGTGTGTTTACTGCAAAAGAATCATGTGTTACAATGGTAACGCTGGACCCCGCATGGGGGACAAAGAATACAAAATAGTCTTAACCTTCATAGTTCTAAAACTACCCTTCTCGATTTACCCGTAGACAAATGCTTTCAGCTTAGCCAAATCCCAATTGACTTGAGAAAAAATAAGTCTATGCATGACGAGAAAATAAGATGGCTTACAGCATTCAAGAATCATCACTGGAATTCTTGCTTGATGTCTGAGAAATAGAAGTCCATTGTCGGGTTAGTTTTCCGCATTCCCTTGGAAACGATGGTGACCACGACGTCGGTATTCCAGTCTCCAATGCCCAGCCTTCTAAGGGCCTGACCGACGCTGTAACGGATGTTAAATAATCGGTACATCCCATTCGATTCTGTCACGGACGACTGTGACACTGAGGCGCTCATGTCCACCATGCCGCTGGGCAGATGAGTGAAGGTACCGACATACTCCGACATGTACAGGTGAGTCTCTCTGTTGGCGTCTGGGAAATTGATGAAGACGTCAAATCTCGCGTACGCTGAATGAGGTATCCTCACTCTCTCCAGGACGATGTCCTCCTGCAGCTGGTTCGTATGCTTCAAGCCCTTTCCTTTCAGGTCCTTCTTTGTAGGAGCACGGCGCTCCAGCCTGAAGCTTGCGGGAACCTTACCGATGGTGTTGTTACCAGAGGGAACCACTGCAGGCCAGTCTCTAGGACTCCACGGCTGCGATGGTTTGTGCGCAGGCAGCGGCTCGTAGTTGATCCACAGATTGTCGGCCTCGCTGACGTCTGTGTACTTGATTCCGAGCTTTGAATTGTCAAGGGAGTCTCTGATCTTGACGATGACCATATCCTGGTTCTCGTCGAAGAAGGTGAACTCGGAGTCGAGGAAGTCGCTGGAAGTGTAGTCCACTCTCTTCCTGTTTCCTGCAATGGTGACCTTGTCAGGGATGGTTTTCCACACGTCCCACAGGCGGTCGACGTTGGAGTGATGACTGTAGAAGATGGGGTCCCGAGCAGCGTAGATGAAGTTGCCCATGTCCTCGTTGTCCGGATGGGCTGGATCGTTGATCAGTCCGGTCCACTCGTGCGCAACATTGTGTACGATCTCCATTCCGCCGGACTCACCAGGAGTCTCACCGGCCGACACATTGACGCTGGCAGCCGTGTTGTCGGTCCCCACAACGTAGGGTCCCCCCAAGAAGCTTCTGGCGCTGATTTTGGTCGCCACCTGGTTGTACATGACGCACAAGTTCTCGTATCTGATTTGCTCGTCCGTGAGGTTGAGTTTGCCCTCAGCTTCAAGCTTGCCATTGTATCCCAAGTAGAGGATTTTGGGAGGCATATGGTTGGCGTTTCTGTTCGCGTCGAGCAAGGCCGAATTGTTGACAGGGAAGTTGGGAAGGAACATGAAGGGCATCATGCTTGCGATAGGGTCCAGCTGATTGTCCCAGTTCCAGAATGGGAGGGCGAAGGTGGGATCGCCGATCAGATCCGCCAGAATCCTCTCGTGGTAGTAGAGATACATCCTGTGCCACGGAAGAAAGGTCCAGCTGAAATGAACTTGAAGCAGAACTCCGGTGGCCTTGCCCAGAGGGCCTGGTATCTCCCGCTGCTTGAAAGCTTCGTTGCAGAAAGAGCAGTGGACTCTCCACTGATTCAGAAAGCTTCTGGGATCGCTGTCTGGCAGTGCTTTCATTCTGGCGTAAGCTAGATTGTACTTCCTGACGTACTCAGGATCGTTCTGGACTACATGGGCCGGTTTCCTCTCGCGGATGACGGGAGGACCTCCGCTTTCGCAAGTGGGGTATTTGAACCTGATGGGTTTCCTCGCTGGTGGTGGTAGGCAGCAATGCAGTGGAGCTCCACGCAGCACCGGGACGGTTTTACAAAAACCTAGACTCGATGCCAAAACCGGTTCTGCACTGATGCTTTGGGGGAAATACTGGATGCAGAGAAGCGCGCAGCACATAGAGACCGCCCATAGAAGCTTCACTTGAACCACACCTGCATTGCCTCGTCCCTGACCTTCCCCTTGCACAAGGAAGATATGCTGACGGCAGGAGGCCGTCATTGCTGCAATATACAAGTTTGGCCTGTCGACATTCATGCAAATTCATTTGTAATGAGTTTCCAGCTCAGAAGCTTATGCACGCACATTCCCAAAACGCATTATCGATGTCGCTTAAGATGAAATTCGGAGCTTCCAGCATCTTGCAACTATATGAACTAGGCAATTGAAGTTAGATTGACGAAATTAGACGGTTAAGTCCTTGAAAAACACAATTTCAGAACAGAAGTAAACGTACGTCTGAGAGCTTACCTCAGTTCAGCAGCAGGTTGAATGTTGTTCCAAGAGCTCGTTCTTCCTTCAAACCTCGACCTTGGTAGCAATGACGTCTATTTTGTCACACTCAGAGTTACATGTCATCCCAGAAAGAGTCCTTCAGTCCTCTATGTTAGGCCAGCCCGAATTCCGTGTCCGGTTTAAGGGCTGACAAAACTTGAACATGCTGAAGAAAGCAGACTTCGGCAGACTTTATAGTGTCTTGGGATCCATCTCTGCCACAAAGGGGACAGTTTCTGCAGATATGTCGGAAATTAAATGATCATGAAAGAAAGTGTTCATCACAAACAGATTAACAGTTGACTGACAACGAGGCAGGCCAAGATTTCTCACACGTCGTTTAGACTTATTATATATTGGAACTTCTTCAAAACCTTCCCTGTGAAAAACCGGACTGGGCCTAACACAGTAGCCGAGATTCAGAATAATGCCCCAACACAACTGCATATATTTACTGATAAGAAATCCGATGTGTGTCGACCTCATTACATGAAAATTTCGGAACGAATTTCTTACAGTATATCAGGACCCATCTAGAGATGACATAATACATAAATTCAATCCAAATACTTAAAAACTTCCTTGCTGCAGATCAGATAATCATAGACAAATCAGGATCAGTCAATCTTTCCACGAGTTATCTTGATCTTGAAACTTCTTCACATGGATTACTACCCGAAGAAGCCTTTCCAACAGATATTTAATGGATAGTTTTCAATCTTCAGTTACTCAATGCCATAAGAGCTCGGAAGTATTCAGTATTAGACGTGACAAGGTCAACAAAGTTCACAGAAGGCTTCCTGGAATTGTGTAATCGTTCACTACTTCCTCCGGACGTGGTGAAAAGTTCTTCTACAGCACAGTCCCTCCTTTGTACCTTAGCTCTGACACACTATACAACGGGCGTTCGTGAGCCTGTTACTGAACCGCGTCTATTATGGAGTTAGTCTTTCATCCTACACGAACCTGCAAGTGGAGCATTCTTTCAAGTGCAATTTTTATACGAATGCCAAATATTAAGCCGAATTTCGTTTGCAACCAATATTCACAATACACCCAATATTCACAATACACCGTCGTCAGATCAGTTGAGTACCCTTCTGATCTATGTACAATGATATAAAAGCATTGATTCCTTGGGTACTTTCCTGTACGAGGTACACTATACATTTTATTTGATTCCTTTGAAAATTTCTTCCTGCTTATAGATAGATTGCCATGTACTGGCTAAGTTTGAGTTCCACTTCAGAATAGAGTTTCATATTGGGCAATCGACGTTGAATCAAATTCATAAGATTGTTAAAACCAAGACAAAATCATTCTATAATACTCCTCCCTTGCATTGCCCTTTGTTAGCTGCTCCTTAGATGCCTTCGGATGGATGGCTGCCATTATATATCGTTATGGATTAAATGAACAGTACTACGTGAGAAGCACGGAGGACATCGGTGACGTCATCCAGGGTGAAGACTTCCTCGTACTCGCTGTCATCGCAAGGCAAGTAGATAGAGATGCGCACATGTTAATATATTCACAGAAGGAGCACTGCAGCTCCGATAAGAGAATGCGCATCTGTCTGAAGGAGCAAGCAGAAAGTGTAAAGCAAAGTGGCAAATACAGGGTTTCGACTGTGCAAGCTCGTGTTGCCCGCCCGCAAACAGGTATTATTTCTCAGTCTTGGGCGGTTAATGAATCAATTTACTGTAGAAAAGCTAGATACGAAATGCTTTTTGTGTGCTGAGGATTTCAACAACAGAACAATGTTACTTAGCCGCATTTTGTCTTTAACGAGGCGGACGGGGCTCATGATGATGAAACAGTTTTGGACTTGAGTTGACTGTCATGTGAACAGAGTTTCAACGCTCTGCACGACCTTAAGAGGATGTTACGTGCTCGATACCGCTACTTAACTTGACTTGAAACCCTCGATTACTTTCTAAGAGTTTTATACTAATCAATCACATGTTCAAAGAGTTTAGACATCTAGTAGTCGTGCATCAATTAAAACTACTTCGTATAAGATCTTCCCAGACTTTGAGCTCGCTTTTTCGAAGGCTGAAATTGTATACGTTATGGAATTTCTTTCAAAACCTAGGCTTTTGACCTTGAAAAAAAACGTTTTCTTTCTTATCACATACAGCAAACATCTCACAAGGAACAGTTTCACTTACAATTTACTGTGATACTCTAGTGGCTGGCACATCAAGAGATCTTTTCACATCAGTTTCAGAACAATTCTGGTCAATAGCTACCACAATGTCTTTATGTTCGAAGTAACTTTGAACAGATTAATCCTCTGTTCAAAGTTACGTCGAGCATAAGAAAAGTTTGTAGTAAATTGAATAAATAAAATTTCATGTTCAAGCAGAGCTCAAGAGGATAAGGAACACCGGGAACCACAGAAAATTTGTCAATATTTTGAGTCTCTAAATAATTTCTGTCCCAGGATGCAAAGCACGTTGGTTACTTTCTCCGAAACAAGTTGAATTCACATAAGTATTTTTAAAACTGCAATTGGGCCACATTTTATTATAAGATATGCCTTTAATTTCAATGGTTTTTACATCCAAATATCAATCGGAAAAGATGACTGACATTGGATGTTCCAGTTTTCGGACTTTGTAGAGTATTCCCTCTCGAGCTTAAAGCTCAAATCGCTTAGCTTCCACTGATTCAGAGGAAGCTGAAAATTTCCAACTTCAAGGCGAAGTTATTAGAGTATTTCAGCTCTGAGGCGTGGTCCATGAGAAGCAAAAGAAGTATTACTGAACTGAATATTAAAACTTTAAAACATAAGGTTGTCTTTGGCAGAAGTTCCGCCAGATCCACTGCAGCCGCAGGAGGACATGGGAGCACTGATAATGCCAGCATCCTCATTTGGAAGACTTGTTGCTTTCACACCCACAGCGTGTAGAAAAGAGGAAGACAAGATTGTGTAATAGTATCAAACTGATGCGGGGAGAGGTTGCGATCTCGTGACCACCAATGTTCAACGTCTTCTCGCCGTGAACATTGGTTATGGTGATAGATTCATTTGCATAAGTGGAAGAAAGAGTGTATGTGGGAGTCGACCGTTCTATAGTGAGTTATGTAAACCTTATTATTGGAGCTGTATGTTTATTAACTTGGGGTGCTGGATGAAGACCGGCACGTTCACA